CAGTAAGAAATCTGCCAACATGTCCAGTTTTTAGAAAGGCAAAACCAGTGAAAAGCCACCAGTCCAGTTCAAAGATGAGTCAACTAAGAATAACCAAAGTGGGAAGAGGATTGTCTCTTCAGATGATTTGTAAGGTATCTGTAAAGATCTGATATATTTACTGAGGAAGTAAAGCACAGAAGAAAAGGTAGGTTTTGGGGTTTTTTTTTCTCCCCTTGTAGGAGAAAAAATGAATTGTTACCAAAACCTGTTCTTCATGATCTACAATTCAAGTTCCATGGACAATGTTGTCTTTCCTTGTTGTGGACTCTTTTGCCATTAGAAAAAAGTTTATGAAAACATAGGGAGGTATGCTTGGGGGGGGGGGAAGGGGGGAATGAAAAAAAAGGAAAAGAATGAGCTAAGAAAGGTATGAAGCCAAAATCCAGAAGGCTGACCATACAACACTCTTTTCAATATCAAGCTTTTCAGCAAGGGTAGTCTTTTGGTCATTCCATGCATTTCTCACTATTTGCTTGCATTCATCCATAACAAAAATATAAATGATACAAGTGATAACAGGGTACAAAACTGACCCACGGTCGTCATGGTGTTTCTGTGCTTTTCTGCGTTATATGGCTTTGCTAAATTCACATAAATATTTTTGAGAGTGTTAAGAGAAAGAAGATGCTGCTTATTTAAACAATTCTAACAAAGGTCTAATCTTTTACATTAAGCATCAGTTCCTTTCATTTACTTTCTGGCTGCAGTTCATATGTTTTCTGCAAAGGACACAGTTTAATGAACATATACCAGATTATTTAAATGAATGGTTTTAATGAGTTCTTTGAATAGGTTTCTCTAAAAAGTAAGCATGAAATTACTTTCTCAGTTGGGATGCTTAAAAAACTTACATAATCATTTGCAGCAAACAGTCCTTAGTTGCTTTAACATTCCAATGTCTTTGAGTGCTAATAAACTAAAGTAGTTTTTTGATGGGAATGATAAGTCAGTACAGTAATTTGATGTTTTAATATGTTATTTGTAAGAAACTTTTTTTTCCTACAGGGAAGGGGAAAATACTTTTCATTTTATAAGAATAAGACATCAGTTTATTTCTAAATAATGGAAAGATATAGAGACAGGCCTGATACTTTAGGCTTTCCATAAAAGGCTCCAGCACAGACTTAATAATTAACTTCTTAATACTCCTAAGAAGGAAATACATCCAAGTTCCACTTGGATAAACTCAGGCAAAAATAATTTGACTTCAAGTGATTTAGCGTCGAAGTTATTAAACTCAGTCCTTGACTCTGTTTACTCTTTTTTGTCTAACCTTGTTGCAATATGAAGTGTTAATTCCATTCAAATAAATAGGATTGGGCATAGCTTTCTTCCTAGCTGCCATCAGGAAGAAAAATATGCCAAAAGTCTAAATACATTTGCAGGTACCTATAGTAGTGTCTTTCATTTTTGAACCAGCAGAGGGTTCTTTATATGATTGATCTAATTGTTTAGAAGTCACTGCATGTGTTAACATTCTTTAATTGCCCTGATTTTTCTCTATTGATTTTGTTCATATACAAATAACAGCACTGCAATGGAAATGCAACCTGAATGAAAGGTTATAGAATTTTTTGTCAGTGGTATTTTGCCTTTTTAGAATAAAATCTATTTTTCCTTTGGAATAAAGTAATAAAATGGACCATAGTCTCAGAAGTCTGAGAAGTCAAGAGATAGCCCATTTAAACAGGGTTACAACAGTTGTCGGTCTTTTTCTGATCATAAGGCTAATGAGCATATTCATTTATACATAATGCAGCTGTAATATAGATAGCTGGTACCAAGCCTTAGAAGACATTCTGTTTATATTTTAAAAATCCCACTGTAATTTCTACGTCTTTGACTACGTTTTACATATAGCCATTTCTACCTTTGCTGTAACCTTGACTGCTTCTGAGTGAAACCACTACAAAATGTAAGGAAAATACATCAGCTCATTCCCCATTCTTCACTCCTCCTACCCATGGGAGTGTGCTATGGCTGAAAAAAATTGAATTTTAAGCAATCTGTTTGCTAAAGCTTTGGCATAGCTTTGCATTTATTGTGATACATGTGTTTTCTTGTATCACTGATACAAGTGTGGTAAAAATGTGTCTTCTGAAGACACACTAAATGGCTGTTGTTTTTCATGACAAGTATCTTGTCTCATGGTGTAATATTCAACTTCTAAAATGCTTAACATTCATTAATAGTAATAAATTACTTTGTCACCTCTAACGTGTAGGGTCTTTCTCATTAACCAGATACACACTAGATGCTTAATATGCACAGTTAAATACCTTCAGGATACTAATTTAAAATATGACACAGTGTGCATGTATAAAGCCTGGTAAAAGGTCCAGGTTTTGCATATGCAAAGCCTGAAATTGCTGTGGATCACATTTATCTCACACAATTTTATTTTTTCATGCTTATTCACTGTTACGAGTGGAGGAATTCATAATTTATGCATATTTTTTTGTGCCGTAAGATCTCAGACGTAGCTGCTAATGCCATTGTTAACACCAGCATCAGTTTGGCTCCAACTTTTCAGATTACTGAAATAATCTATCCTTTCACAGACCTCCTATGCCTACAGAGGGTTTTTGAAACCTTGTCAGTGCTGCTTTTGCTCTCTGTTGCTAAGATTTGTAAGTGAATGACCTGAGCATCCATACTTCTTCAGCGTCAGAAACCCCTGATATGGATGTCTACAGTTTTTGTAGACTCACAGATTTTTCTTTTTAAATAAAAATGTTGAAATAAATATTGAAATGTTTAAGAAAAAATGTTGAAATGCTAACACTGTGAAAGCCTTTTATGATGCAGATTCAATTTTTCTGCATTTCATATTGACTGTGTCTTGGAAACCTCAGGATGTTTTACAATACTGGGGAAAATAAATCCTCAAAGGCAACATGGATCTCATTTTCTAAGACAGCTACCTGAACAGGGTTACAGATTCAAACTTTTCCACTTGAACTCTGAAAAAGGGACCTGATCCTCATGCTTTTTTACCCCTTACCACTTCCCAGTTTATAAGAACCATCTGCTTATAAACTGCATCTTAACAGTTGCAATTCCTGCATTAGTTTCAGTGACTTAGCAAGAAAGCATACTCTTTGGAGAGCACACTTCTTTGTTCTTTCCTGGCTGGCCAGGGTAAAAGAAATATTTTACCTAGAGCACTAATCAAATGTATTTCATATGCAGCACTCTTGGTAAAAAAATTATAAGGTAGAGGAAAGTAACTTCTCCTTGACCCTTTCCCCCACCTCCCACCCTTTTTACTGAACCTGCTTCCCTTTTGTATTAGAAATGGTAGCTTTCCACTTGGAGGAAGAACACCTAGCAAAGAGATATACTTGGAAACAATTTTTATGAAGTATATCAGTGAAATAATAATACTGATGATGAGATTCTAAGCTGCACATGAATTCAAAGTATTTGTAGGTAGAACAGTAGCAAATTTTATGAAGAAACCTTAAGTATATTTAAACCAAAGTAATATATAGTTGGTATAATAGTTCTAAGACTGGGAGTAAGGAGTCCTTTTACTTTCTTGGTAATTAATGTTTAATAAAGGTCTGCAATCCTGTCAAGTGAAGAATGCTGTTTAAATCAAAAAAATTACTGCTTTTCACTAAATAAGGAGCTCTTTGTATCAAAAAGATTAAAAAAGAACCGATTCCTCCTTCAAGAATGATCGTGTCTGTAATACTAAAAGAAAGTACTGCTTTATAGGAAATAAAGTTTTTTTTGCTATTATTAAAAATTACCAAGTTAGATCAGCCAGAGAGGTCTGCACCTTAAAAATCATTTGAGTATGCCACCTAGCAGCAGTCTATGACTATTTCACATGGTCTTTAAAGTGCTCAATAATCCCATGAAGTTTTAACTCTTATTTTGTTGGTGCCTGCTACTTTTTGTGTTATGTGTCTAAAGCTAATAAAAAGATTTTTCATGAATCACATGAATTTTTATTTTACTGTTCACATTAAAAAGCTTTCTAATATCTTATAATTTCTGTGCAAAATCCTGCTATTATGTCATGGTCAGCATACATTGTTCTGAGCTGTAGTTTCTGGACCAGAAAACCAATTTAAACCAAAAATGTTTATGTCACTCTGGGCATTAAAATTGAATGGGTACATGTCTAAGTACATGGACCAGGAGGGTTATCCTGCAGCAGTTAGTAGTTGGTAAAATACAGAGTTTTAACATCAAGTTTTAGTATATCTTTGATTGAGAAGTGGGGAAAAATTATTCAAAGGGGATTTTTATTTATTTATATTTGGGTTATTATTTTTTTTAACCTGATAACTGAACAAGAAGTGAGGAATTACAATGTGGAAGGTATAAAATATTCCATCAGTGACCTGCAGGGACGTTTTAGTTTCAGGCAGAAGAGGTAAAGTGTGGTGAAAGGCTTTTTAGCATTAATGTCTCCCCAGGTAGTTTAAAGAAATCACAGACATTCCTCAGACAAGAATCTGATGACAAATAAAGGTTGCAATTTGTCCAGGTGTGTCATGTTATGGCTGAAGTGACAAGAGGTTTCTCAGTTGAAAGGGAGTCAACACCGTGCTACAAATAAGAAGCAATTGCTTGAGAAAGTTTTAGAGTGTTTGTAAATAGTTTCATTGGAGAATTCATCACTCAGGCCATAATATCTTGTTTTTCTCTCTTCCCCCCTCCCCTCCCAAAAGCACTGGGCAAGTACAATTGCACACTAACTTACCTGAAAGACTGGCAGATACACTAGTCAGCAACTATTAAAATGATCCAGACCAATAATGTTATGGAATAAAGAAGGTATTAACATACTGATCCAAAATATCAACAGGACATCCATGGGATCAGTGGTGGGTACTGCCCACCCCGAGTGGGGCACAAGAGAGGGGCGATGTGAGGGGAAACCAACCTGCAGCCCTAGGGTCCATCTCCATGCCTTCAAGGTGCCCAGCCCAGGCACTTACCTTCTTGCCACCCAGGGCCTCAAAGTGGCTCCGCAGCTCCTCCACGGTAATGGGGAAGTGTTCAGTCTGCTGAGGGCTTGCTAGGGTCTCCTCCTTGAACATGTCTGTCCTCCTGCTGTCTGCTGGCACTTTCTCCTTGGTGCTGCTGCAGCTCATCTTATTCAGCACCAGGGACATTGGGGCTGATGAGCACTGGAGCATCAGGTGAGGTCTCACAGCATTGGCAGACTCCCATCTTTGCTTGAGGAGCTCCACAGAGCCCTTCTGCAGGGGCAAGTCTGCCAGCTCCAGCGTGTCCTGCCAATGCAACATGTACCTGGGGTCAGAGACAGGTACCATGGTGCCAGCAATGGCCATCACAGGGTGGCTTGATAGCCCTTGTGTGTTGAAGGACAGGCCGAGGCACAGGTTGGTGGCTGGGACAGAAGCCACTTCCCAATGGAAAGTGAGATCCAGTAAGAGTCAGTGATAGGGTTCAGTGTGTTTATATAGCAGGAACATGTTAATTAAAAAGTGAATTAAAGGTGGTGTTTAGCTATTTTATTTTTATACTTCCCATCAGAATTGCTGTCTGTCATGAATGGAAAAGCAGCAAGTACACAATTAGGGAGAATTTCAAACAAAGTGGGGCTAATGAACGAGTTCCTGATAATCAGTGTGTGCTACACTGAAAGGTGTTGTGACAGGTGACTGCTGGTTTCTTTTAGATTTGATACAGCTGTCAGTGGTGTAGAATAAGACACAGTATTTTAACGCAGCTAGTAGAGTGAAGGGCTACTGCATTAGCTGTGAAAGCACTTGGATAGGCTGGAAACACATCCTGCAGTACAGTGCTCCTAATTGCACTGTAACTCTTCTGGCAGGTAAATTACTAAGGGTTGATGTCAAATCTTTCTGATCAATTGACTGTGTTCTCACAAAGGCTCATTCCATCTTTCTTACAGTATGCTTGTGAAGGAAAATTGCTATTCTATCATTTTGCACCAGTTGCTGAAATCTGCTACCCGTTTCCTGAAAGCAGCTCCCAAAAAGTTTAATTTTGAGGTTTCTCTGCCCTGTAGCAAATGCTCAAATATAAGTTTTCATCTCTCGTTCAAAATGAATTTGAGTAGAAAGAACTTGCTTCTAAAACAGGAAAGAGAGAGAAATGTTAACAAGAACTGAGACCCAGCTACCAGCTAAAATATCAATTAATTACTCCCTCCCTTCTTGGCAAGAGAGTTTGTTATGTATTTAACTATTCTTACATGCTTATATTTGTTTGAGCTTAAATATGCAACATTGGGAGTTAGGCTTGGGATTCTTTTTGAGATAATATTTAGCCAGAGTTAGTGTTGATTTAATACTTTGCTTAGGAGGAAAAAAAATAGGAGAAGCACTCGATAGTTCTTCTTCCTTACACAGAACAAGAAAGAGTTTCTTTGCTCACAGCTTTCACCTTCTTTCCAGCCAGAAATTGGCCCTAGGCTTGTCTTTTCTTTAGCTTTTTGGCAGTTCTATGTTGTGACTATGGCTAACATCCTGCTAATTGCCCTCCAGCTGTCTCAGATGCTCTCCCCTTCCTGCAAGCAAAAGAGTAACACCCTTCCCTCTTCTACCACATATACCTGTTCTAAGCTGTCTGATTCCATACAAGATCTTAATGGGTCTGACTTTTAACTCAAAATGAAGAACAGCTGTTGAATTCACCAGTCACAAGAATGTTCAACTTAACTCATGGTTTTAGGTTACAAATACTCCCGAGTTACACTGCATCTAAGGGTTGATTTTGGACCATGAAGCAGTCTTTTCCTAACTCAGGTGAGTGTGCTTATGCAATATCCCCATTCTCCTATGTTTTGGTTTATTGCTAGTGGGTTCTTTTGTTAGTTTCAGTATGTGTCAGGGTAGGTTGTATGCCATCATTCAGAAATAGTTTGGAGTTCATCTCCATCTCCCTCACAGATCGCAGAATACCTTTAACTGAAAATGGCAGCTTCTTTTACCCTTGTCTACTGCGGGGCCTATGGCTGCTAGACAACAGATAAAACAAACACATTTGTTTTGTTTGCATTGACTTGTGTGAGGTGAAATTGTGTGGAGACTCAATGGTTTATAAAGGGGAAGATTTGCTGCACTGCTTCTTCCCTTCCTTTCTCCCCCACCCCCAGTAACATTGTACCATCTGCATTTATGTTAGGAATAAATTTGAATGTAGGCCTAAACCTGATTTTAAGCCAATTCCTAAAGATATATTTTAATGAAAGTGCCTGAAACTGGGGAAAACAAACAAATAAACAAAACCAACAAACAAACAAAAAACCCAAAGAACAAGACAATAAACTACCCTACAATCCAAATCAGAATTTGGTGTGTCCTAGAGGTCATTTGAGGTTTCATATTTTATTACTACTATCTCCAAAACCGGTCTCTGATCTTCTAATTTCCTTCTCTAGCTGCTCATAGTTTAAATTAGTGTAGAGTACTCATGGGAATTTATTGAAAGTAAAATATTGGATAAATATTGAATATTTAAGATTGTCAGTTATTTTGTTTCCTGAGCTTTGTAGAGCCTTACCTTTGTGAATATAAAGGAAGAAAATAAGCACGGACTTGGACTGTGAGCTACATCACTTATGATTTCATACTGGCTTTGCTGAATGCAGTTTTTAACTTTTACTAGTCATCTGTAAAAATATCTTAATTAGGTGAACGGGAGAGTAGATAGTGTTGCTTTTATGAAGTATCTTTTTTTCCCCCTCTCTTTTGTGTGTGCTATTTTTAGCTTTTGGCTATCTGGTTATATTTGTCCTTTGGGCTATTCACTTCTCCCCCAAATTTATCTTGATTTACGCTCTCCTAGCGACAATAACCAAACTACACTATCCAATTTGCTGAAATCACAGGCAAATTCACGCTGGTGAGTCTCTTACTACCCTCTTCCCAAGAGCTGCACAATACGAACCTGCCTATGTATGGGTCTTGTGGCAAGGCAGAATTTGTCTGTTATACCGATGTTTTCAGTCCCATTGCACCAGACCTCTGCTCATAACAGTCAAGTAAGAGCCTATAAAAATGATGCATCCTTATATGAACAAGGATAAAGGTTTTGGCCAGGTTAAAACTCTGCAGGGAGCATTGCCCTCTCATTTTCCTTGGTCTAGGAGACACAAGTATGTTTCTGTGGCCAAAATCAGTGTGTTTGCAAGAGGAAGAATGCAGTACCAAACAAATTAAGTTAGGTGAGCAGTTATTGTGGCGGGTAGTGATGGCGGATTTTTGTGAAGGAACTAACTAAAATGCTATATAGCCTTCAAAATTATGTCCTTGTGAATGCTACTTGCATGACTTTGTTTTATGAAGCCACCAATAGTACAGCATTCAAACACTGCAATGAAACTGTAGGCTTTACTTTTTTTTTTGGTGTTCCTTCTCTGGGATCTTTTGGATCTCTCTCCCACTGATTTTATAAGAGGCCTACAGTAATTCTTCATTGCATGTAATAAATCTTAGCAATGTATGCTTTTCCTGATCGAAAAGCTACAGAAACGCCTGTAGATTTTGTAGACTTGAATATTGCAGATATCCAGTAATTTTCAGTTTTTTTTTAAAACCTCAAGCTGTTGATTGATCTGTCTTTACAATAGGATCATTTAAATGGTAGTATTCTTCTTGTGCTTTAAATGAGATAAGCCCTCTTCTGCTGTTCACAGACCATTTGTTCAATTTGTGAGTGAATATATTCATGTAAGTAATTAAAAGAGCTGTTCAGAAAAACTGTATCAATTCTGCTGTGTATTCCTTTGCCAAAATGGCTTCCTGCATTTTCATCGTACTCTTGCTATCTTAAATGTTTCTTACATGCAAAGTCTTTCCTTGGTTCACTAGCAAACAAGTAAATAGAAATTGTAAAAATAGTAAACTGAGACAGTTTATTTGTAGGACTATTTGTGAACACTGTTGCTGTGTTCATTTAGCTGTATCCCTGTGGGATGGTATAATCGTGCATATTGTACTGATAAGTCCTCTCCTGGCAGTATAAAACAGTCTGTTGTCAAGCAGTTGCCATTTGCCATTGCATATTGAGCTGGATTTCCTTCTCAATTAACAGAAAGAACCCAAACAAACAACCCAAACCCTAAACAAATAAATAACAAACCCACAGAAAACCACAACCAGCCAACAACAACAACAAAAAAGGGAGCAGCAAAAAAATCCCAACCAAAAACCCAAAACAAAATTCTTGTGAGGACAGGATTTGAGAAGTCCCTTCCATGATCTCTCATACTACTTCATCTAGCTGTTGCCTCTGACAGCTCCCCTTCTATCCCACCCTTAATGTGTGGTTCCAGTAAATGTGCACTGTCAAGAATCCCTGGCATGAGGATTCATAGGCATTCTTGGGCTAAATTATGAGAGGATGATAAATAGGTTTCAAACAAAGACTGTATATCATTCAACCCAATGTATTTCCCATGAAGAGCAACCCTCAGGGTTCAGAGGAGGCTACAGAACAAAAAGCAAGTGACCCCTTAGTTTATTGTAATGCTGGGCAGAAAAGCAGGTGGATGAGGAGAGGATCGGTAGCTGCCTAAGTTCTCTGATGTAGTCAACAATAGAATAAAATAGTGCAGTTGGAAGTACACGCTCAACACAACAATCATCTAGTCCAACTGCAATATCCACTGGCCACTTTACTGAATAATCTCTTCTCCCCTAAGGACTCTAAATGTGCACATGATAGCTAGGCACACACTTCTGACATCGCTGCTTTAAAAGCTTACAGTTTCTTCTGCAGGTAAGCAGAGCCTCAAGTATCTGTAACATTTCTTCATTTACATTTCAGACACTTCTTAACAAAAGCAGCTTGGACAAGTTTATGAAAAGAGTTACAGTACTTCTTGATTACTACAAAATGTAAAGCACTTCCAAATTCCTGGTCATATTTTGAGAAAACAGATTAATTTGGGCTGTCATTTAGCATGCCAGGATTTAACTTGACACAAATATAAATAGTTAAATAAAAAAACTTTAAGAGATGTTGTTTCAACTGTAAATTATGGCAGACCCCTATTCTAGCAAATGCAACAAGCTTCCAATATTTTGAGGTAAATCACATTGGAACGCTAATTCTTATCTCTTACCTGAAAAATCAACGTTTTCTCATTTAATAAGAGATGACTAGAAAGTGCATTATTCATATTCATGGGACTTGAGGAAGACATGCTTACTTTTTTTCCTTTTATCCCCTCATTTATTACGTGAGCAGTATCAGGCCCCACGCTAGACAGCCTATTAAAAAAAGAAAAAACACATTAAATTGTATGTTTGTGCTGAGCTTATCTTACCGCTGTGTTCTT